TTAAAAATTATAAAGAAAGAAAGTAGTAGAGAAATATTATAGTTTTGCAAGTTTTCTAATCAAAGAATGTTATTTCAAGAGTTCTTTATAGCCTTTTGTTCTCAAAATAACTTGAGTCTTCTTTCTATTTACTGTTCTTAAAGATTTCTCTAGTTTGAATACCAAATGCAAAGATAAGTTCATACAAGAGAAGAAAGAAGCTTGACTCTTTGCAAACTATTCAAAATGTCTACTCCTCAGTATATCATATTTAAAGACTTCATTGTAATAGTTTGTGTTAAGAAAACTACAAGTTATTTGTTTACTTCTAGTCTTGAGTTTTTAACTTGCTTTTAGGTACTAGTTAGTACAAGTGATTATTAGAGAAAGTTGTTATTTTGAATATATTCTTCTATCTTCAATCTTCTTAAGTTTTCTTTTTTACTTACTATTTTTAGAGACTTTTTTAATTTAGATACCAAATGCAAAAGAAGTTTATCTAAGAAAAAACAGAGCAAAATTTAATTTTTTTGCAAACTATTCAAAATATCTGCTTTTAATATATTATATTTAAAAACTTCATTACAATAGTTTATATCAAAAAAACTTCAAGTTGTTGTTAACTTCTGATCTTAAGTCTTTAATTTGTTATTGGTAATAGTTAGTATAAGTGATTATTAAAAAAGTTAAATTTTTTAAAAAAATAATCTGTATAATTTAATTATATTATGTGATTGTACTGTCTCTATATATGGTCTGTAGATATAAAAAACCTTTAGCTATTCTATAAAATTTTTTTTACCTTTTATAATTTTGACCAATCAAATTTTAAGATCAGGTATAATATAAAAATTAAACAAACTACTTTTTTACAAAAAAACAGAAATAGCTTTAAATCTTTATTAGGAAACTATCTTTTGCAATCTAATTAAAAATATTTTTTATAAAATTTTACTACTGTAAATACTATACAAGATTTTTCCAAATAGTAGATTTATTATAAATTAGACCCAAGTACAAAAGGACCCTAAACAATCTATAGACAGGTAAAATTTTAGTTTGCTTATTTCAGACTATTTTTTTGTTGACCTTTTCTATTTATAATAATTAGTTTGCTTATTTCAGACTTTTTTCTGCAAATTTTTCTATTTTTAGTAATTTTTGCAAATTGTTAGCTATTTGTAGATTGTTTAGGGTCCTAGTGCAAACCACAAAATCTATATTAATTAAATATAGTTTTTTTTAAATAGTTAGACTGCTTATTGTAAATACAAAGTGTATATATACTTTATATTTTTTCTTTTTATAATATAATCTCTCAGTATATATTAGACTCAGATTTACTATATGATTTAAAAATTGGTGAAATATAGTAAATCCGAGTATTGTAAATAATATTTTATAGTAATAGCTATCATATTTTCTAACTATAATATAATTTTTTAAACCAAAACAAGTTTGTTTTAACTATCATATTACATCTAATCTTAAATTTTGATTGGTCAAAATTATAGAAGTGAAAAAATTTTGTGAAATAGCACCTAAAATATAGATTATTCAGTGAACTACTAGATATAAAAGACATGCTCTTATTATATAATATAAAGTATACTTTGATTAGTTAATAAGGTTAGATACTAAATTAATATATGAGAAGTATTAATAGAAACTAAGCAAATTATACTAAGTAAAATTTTAAATATTAAGTTAAAATATCTAAACTATTAAATCAAATATGATAAAATTTTTTATTTTAATTTTATAACTATATAAAATAAAATAAAAAATTTTTTATCAAGTTTGATTTAATAGTTGTTTAGAAATTTTAACTTAAGACAATATAAAATTAATAGAGTTTGGGTCCTGTAGCTTATTGGTTAAGCTCTCAAATCCCACAGACAAGGTTAACGGTTCAAGTCAGGCTAGAGACAAATTGAATAATTTATTTCTGTAACCTTCGGGAGCTATAATTAAATGCAAAACCTTGTAGCTAAGTCCAAGTGCAAGTATGAAGCTGGAATAGAAATTCCCAGAAGAAGATCTAAATATGGAGTGTTGACACTATGTATAACTATAGTGTTATAGAAGACTGTGGCTATAAAAATTGCGTGAATAAGTCCTTCAAAGATGGGGTAGCATCAATATTTTTGTATCTTCAGGTTTGACAATACCAACATCTCTACACCCAACTTGTGGGGTACTTGCTTGGAAGAGTGATTAATAGATTATGTGAATAAGTCCTTATCTAGAAAGAAAATAGGGTACTTGCTTAGGAGGGTGATTGGTGTAACTAAAGTTGAAAGTAGTAAAAAAAGTGGTGAATATGTAGATAGTCTGTGGTAAAAAATTGGCCTTATCAGAATCAGAAGCACCTCTGACAACGCAGAATGAAGATACTATAAAAGGCAAAGATTATAGAAGTTGTTATATATACCTACAGAAGTCTGTATATTTGTCTGTAAGAATTGTACTTTACTTAGTTTTTGTTTCTAATATATAGCTAACCATCTGATGTTCTGTGTACGTATAAACAGTGTTGTTACAAAACAGTTGTGGACAGTAAGTTTGGACACTTTAAACAATTTTGGACAATTAAATAAATTAAAATTACTCAAAATTTTATTAAAATAATCTATATTAATTTCTAAGTAAAATATATTCAGCATATAAAAAAATATATAATTATATACTTTTTAAACAAATTTATTAATTATTAAAGCTTGTATATACTCTGGATATTTGTGAACACTTGAACACTTAGATGTTGGACAGTACCAAAAAAGCCTTTGAACAGTCAAAATGTATAACACTGTATATAAAGGCATTGAATCAGGCTCTGGTTACATCTATATGGAAGTCTATAATAAACAAGTCTAGGATCTATTAACCTCTGAGATTTATAATAACAAATAGTAGTACAGCATTACTGGATCAGTATAACTCTCTAGAAATAACCAGAATTGTTCTAGTATTGTATAACAATATATTGGGAGCAAGTATTATATAGTAGTATAGTATCACCAGGTCGGTGAACTCCCTGGGTATAACCAAAATTGTCTTGGATGCTTGTGAAATATGTCCTAAACTCACCATAGCAGGTAGTATTTAGAAAAACTAAAAAAACGCTGAGTAACTATATAATGTTAAGACCTGAAGCATCTGTAATTGAGCTATAGCAGCAAAAACTGGCTTGAGATATAGGTTAGTAGTATCTGGGCAGATAAGTAGTAGAGGTTACCTGACAATGAAATACTAATACTGTTATATGGTGAACCTAACTAGGTAGCAGTTTATAGCTTGAGATACAAGTTTTTTCAGATTCTGAACCAATTTCAGAATACTTTAGAAAAAATAATAATATAGCACACCAAACTGAAAGATCATAAAGATCTATAACCTAAATATTACTAATTTGAGAGTTATATAGAAGCAAGGTGGTAGAAGCAGAGAATATAGGCTTAGCTAGATATAGTAGTTTTAGGATGCAGGAGTAGCATTAGTATAGGTATGATCCTCTTCTATCAGCTTAGCGGTTTAATGATAATATTTCTTCAAAGTTGGAAGTACTCTAATTGCAAATGTTGGCCTCAGTCTTAGCATACTGGTGATGCAACTAGAATATGTTTGGGCACCCATAAAGGTAGCCAGATAAATGTTAATAGCTGATTGGATTAGCATAGTCTAGTATTAGGTTATAATACAGTTCAAAAATTATATATGTATTTATGAATATATTTAATAAAGGCTTTACTAGCTTTCCTAACCAAGTTTAAAAAAAATAAAAATAAAAATGCAAAATTAATTAATTGGTTTTCATAACCTGGCTGGGTCAAAATTTGAAGGCTTGTAAAAAAATTTTTTTTATATATTTTAATGACTGGGTAGATTTTTTAAAAAATTTTTATATATGAAAATTAAAAAAAAACTAGCCAACTGGCTGGGTCTGTTTAAAAGTTTTATATTATAAAAACCAAGATATTAAATTTGTATGACCTAATGTTTTCAAAAAATTTATTTAGAAACAATTTGCTTGGTTTCTACTAACACTTCTATATGAAGCTTTTAGAATGTTGCAAATTCGTGAACTATATGTTAGTCACATGATTTAGAAAGAGCATGTCTAATTTTTTTCTGTGCTTTATACTCTATCTTTAGTACTCTAACAAAAAGTTTCCTTAATTGATTTTTTTACTATCTAGCTACCTAATATTTACTTCATTCTAAACACTAACCCTAATATTAATGAATTGTAATAGGTTTTAAAATTTTTACTGCGCTACAATGATCGATATAACCTGGTACAGAAAGTTTGAGTATTTTTTTTGCTATGGTTAGGGTACTAAAAAATCTAAATTTGTGATTTCTATTATATGACTGATATTGTACACCCCAGTATAGTATGCAATGCATATGGTAATGCAGTACATAGTGCAAATTAATGTAAATTTGTAAAAAATAAATTAAAGATAAATTAAATGCAAATTTTTTTAATATAAATAAAAAACTGAATAAAAAGTAAAAAAAATAATAACAAATCAAATTGCTTTTAAAGTAGATATAATTTTAGTCATTAACTTTATCCCTTAAACCATTTATTTAAACAGACAAATTTGTCCACTTAATTTTATAAATTCATATTTGATCTATTTTTATCAAAAATAAAAATGGATCTTCTTTAGTATAGGTAGGCATATATAAATTATTACAAGATTATAATATATAAAACCTAACTAATTTGAGCTAATTTAAATTCTAACCTTAACCTGACCCTAATAATTTATAAAATTACTTAAATTAGTTCAAAATAGTTAATTTCTATATATTATAATTGTATAATAATTATATATGCCCACCTATACTAAAGATCAACCTTTATTTTTTTTTTTAATTGTTTTTTGATTTTATCTACTAATTTTAACTACATGCTTGTATTATCTTGTAGTAGATACATATAAGTAGTCTCTAAACCTTTAAACACAGAATCAGTACTAACTATAGGAAGCTCTAAGCTATTATCTATTTTATCTATATTATCTGAATCTTCTACAGTATCGCTTACTTTAAAAATTTCTACAAGCTTTGAAATAACATGATTATTGTCAAGAACTTTATAAGCAAGGGTCTCATCAGGAATAGATAAAAACTCCTCAACTTGCATAGGGTTTGAAAAATGAAAATTTTCAATTATTGCAACAAGATCATCAATCTCAGAACTGATATTTTGATTAATGTTTTGGAGAGATTTTATAGATCTGCATTAAAGCTTGTAGGAAGAATATTAGTATATTGCTAGTAGTTGTAAATAGTATTTATATTTACTTTCTCCCAAACTTGAATAGTATATTGAATAACTTGTAAGATATCTATTTTTAAGTTTTCTGCACAATTGCTTGCTATAATATCCAAGAAATATGACAACAATAATAGTGCTTTTTGAAACTTATAATTATTCTAGCATCTATTGGTTAAATTTTTGAAGTTGTATTTGTAGATAAAAAATAGATATTTATATATTGTAAATTTAAAAATCAAGTTTATAACTAGAACACTTATCTAAAAGCAAAATTACAGATTAACCATCATGTTTTAGACCAACTTGGTGATCAAATTCTTTAAGCTAGTCTTGAAAAACTGTTGTGATCATCTAAGTTTTTGTGTTATTTTGATGCATAAGCAGCATGTTTTTAAGATTTATATTTTTGAAACACTTTGGTTTTTAATATTTATCAATTATTAATAGATTTAATTTATATAATCCATCAGTATTTGCATATAATGCAATTAAAATATATTCTCTATTAGTGTTCTGAAGTTCAGTTCAGTTCAATTTAGGTTCAGGTTCAAGTTCAATTGAACCTGAACTGAACTTTAAATTT